TCGTATCCCATCCACTACCTCAGTATATTGCCATATAATTATATGTACATAGGGCAATACCTCTATCTTTATGAACTAAAGTATTTACATATGCACACATCTATGCTTATACTTCTATCCATTGCTTTGCTTCTTAGATCATTCAGGCAAATTTCTTAATCCTTCTGTCCCTCAGTGTATTTGGCCATCCCAAATGAAGATGAGGATAGTAGCTTCCTCATATGGTCCCAGCGAGGATTAGGAAAGAGCAAGTGTTTGCAATTGTTATAATTCCTGTCATGTATGGCAGCCGAGAATGCTGGCCTTACTGAATGCACGCTCTCATTTCGAGGGACATCTGGCACATTGTTATTCCTCTAAAAGGAAGTGTTCCAAGAGAAGAACCAGAATGTATGCTTCACAGGCAATTTTCTTCGTTGGAGCAAGTGCCAGCTGAGTTTATGATAATTATGCTCACAACCAGAATAGGGGCTCAGTTTCTTATCCAGCCTTGGGACCTTTCTCCAAGTTCCTGCTCTTCCTCTGTCTACTCCTTATCTTATATTAAGGAACCTTGATGGCATAGTGCTCAAGTACTCCGTGGCTAATTAAAGGTTGGTGGTTTGAATCCACCAGCCGATCTGTGGAAGAAAGATGCGGCAGTATGCTTCCGTAAAGATTTACAGCCTAACGGACCCAACCCTCGGTTCCACAGAGTTGCTTTGGGCAGAAAGCAACTCAGTAATGTGTCTTTTCCATTCACTCCTCTTCACATGTGTCCTCTCTGCATTTGGCGATCAGGAATCAGTAGAATAATTTACACTCATCCCATCCTAACTTGTTACGACCAGTTGACCTAGGACTGCCTGAGTTTCAGGTCAAAAAGCCCAGTCATGGGCAGTACAAATTTCATATGAATTCCAAGTCCCACCGCTTCTGACAAGGGTGTTAAAGGCAGACAGATTCTTCTCTTTGGCCAATTACTTTCCATGGCACTAGGCCATGTGATTTCAGAGCCTGATCTTTTTCATTCTTATACACGATCCAGGAGTATACAGAGTCACACTCAAAAGACACCTCTGGGGAGAACTGCAAGAGACTCTGAGAGGAAGGGGAGTTAGTGGGGACCACAGAGGTCAAAAGAGCCACACCTTTATCCCACAGCTATGAGCAGGTGAGGGAGGCTGGGCTGCAGAAGAGATGATGCTTTTGAAGAAGTCCAAGCCTAATACACTAATTGTCCACAACATCTCCAATTCAGAGAGATCCCTGCCTTGGTTTTACATCGAACCCTTGGTTTCTCACACCGGAACCAAACAAGTTTCAACTGGGCCAACTTTGACTCATGGTCACCCCGTGTGTCAGAGTAGAACTCTGCTGCATGGGGCATATAAGGGCTTGTAAGCTTTTCCCAGGTTGGTCTCTTAAGGTGCCTCTGGGGACATTGAAACCTTCCATCGTTTGGTTAGCACCGAAGTGATTTTAACAGTTTGTGCCAGCCAGGGATCCCTTGGTACACTGAAACCTCTATTATTCTTAGGACCTCCAATACACCATTATATTAACTAAGAGCTGATGTGCACGTGTGCACCCACATCTATCATTGTCTTGAGATTCCAATGGAAGATCAGGTGTGGAATATTGATAAAGGTGTTCATGAGAACCACTCTAGTCCTTGATAATGTATTGATGTTAAAGACATTTCTGAAAGTGTTTCAAGAATCATTCACATATTTCCACACACATAAATTAAAACTAAAACTAAAATCAATGAAATCTTTATATTTTCCAAAACCTCAAAAACCTCACTGACATCTAGTTCCTTCTGACTCAGAGAACCCGCAAGGGCCTGGTAGAACTTCCCCAGTACCTCGTATGTTCCTGAGACTGTAAACCTTTATAGAAACAGAAAACCTCACCTTTCTCCCTTGGAGTGGATGATAGGTTTGAACTGCTGACCTTGTATTTAGCAGCCTAACATATAACTCACTAGCCATCAGGATTCCCTCACATTCTCTAGTGTCCTGAAGTTGAAGGTCACATGAAGGAAACCCTGAGTTCCTCTGCCTACTTCCATTTTTTTTTTTTTACTCTAAATGAGCAGTAGTTTTGGATTAGAGTTGCCTTGAGTTCTCTGACAAATCCATGTACTGTTGGGTTATTTTTAAATAAACTATGCACACATAGACACATACGCACATGTTCGAATTATTCTACGTGCATTTACTTGATTAAATCCTGGGGAGAAAAATGTGTGTCCATGAGTACAGCACATATACTTGTGCGGAGACAAAGATGCGGAGCATGGCACACTATTTTAAGCGTCTGAACTCCATCTTTCAACAAAGTTTAGCTGCTTTCATTTTGCAAATGCATTTCATTTTATCTGGAAACTTCCTGACGTTAGAAATAGAACAACTCTAGTTTTTCATTATGTTTGCTGCCAGAATCCATGCTTGGTTGCTCAACTAAAGACCTTCTATTGCTAATTACTACCACATGCCCATATCCTACGCAAAAGAAAACTTATTGATTCTGACAACCCATTCTCTCAACACTGAATTCCAAATGAAAACTAAAATTTTAGCCAAACATAACATTTCATCAATCTTGTTCTACTGACTGGAAAAACAACATCAAACAAAGGGTGCTAATGGCTCTTTATTACCATTCCCTTCCCAGGCTTATATATTCTGGTGAAAGATCTAAGTGACCAAAGGGCTTCTTTAAACTACTTAATAATTAGCTTTTGAACCAGGAGACAATGTGTAAAGTAAAGCAAACAGTCCGGTACTGATGACAGAAACTACTTTGTCCAAGGGGTCGGGGAACACTATACCTCCAAAGGGAACATTAAAAGCAAAATGTGCGTTTTCATAATAGGAAGAAAAGAGAGAGGGAGAAAGGCCGCCTGAAAGCAGTGATAACAGAAGCAAGAACAAAGCCGCAGGAAGTCTGTGATCTGAAGTGGCAAGGCAGAAAGGCGGAGTGGACCAGGCCAGGAACTGGTGAGTGAGTGCTAGCCTGGGGGCCTCATCTGGTCACCAATCAAGGAAAGCTGCCAGCTCCCAGGCCCACCCACAGGCACCGAGTGAAACAACTTTGGGGACAAGGGAGACTACCTAGAGTGATTGTCAAGAAAGATTTCCAACATTAACTTCAGAGCAATTGATTGCATTTGCTTCTTCGGAAGCAGAGTAAGGAAATGCTAGCTTAGACCATGGGTCGGAAGGCTACAAAGAGAGCCCCCGTTCTTGGAATGCACCCTCCTTGAAGGAGACCTGTCCCCAGCGTAAGGCTTGAATGAACAGAGAAGCTGTTTGCCTCTTGGCATGCGATAGACTATCAAGGGGCATCTCTGCACTTGTTGGGCCTTTGGACCCAGCCAATGGCCCAGAAATCTGAACAGCTTGGTGCTCACCTCATCAGGGCTGTTAACATCATAGGTGGGGGAGGAGGACTCCATTAGCGGGAGATTGGAGGAGTGTGCTGTCTCCACTGAAAAGACGCCAACTGGCTTCCTCCCGCACACCATCCTTTGTTCCTTTGAAAGGAAACTGGTGCCTTGTGGGTAGTTTAAGAAAATGAGCCTCTTTTCCCACCCACTCATTTGCTAAACAGAGTCCTGGACACCTGAGCTCGGGAGGCACCGGGATCCCTGACAAGAGAGGAGGGTGGCTTCCCATAGCACAGCCTCCTGTCAGCCTACTGAAGACGATGGAAGGCTACTGGCTATTTATTTATTTTCCTTACAAAACAAACAAAAATAGGATCGTCTAGGGTTCATTTGAAAATAAATTGTTGGGGACAGGGGATGAGGGCAGGAGTTGAGGGAGAAATGGTTCTGTTGTATAAGCTTCTGCAATGTCTGGCAGCGGGAGTGAACCTTCTGGGGTCATGAAAAAATTCTGTATCTTGACCGCCAGGTGGGTACAGGGTAAACACACAGGTAAATGCTTTACTGTATGTGAATGATACTTCATAAACAGAAATAAATCCATCTGAGAAAACACTTTAAAAACAAAGCAAAGGTTGCTGCTTCCCCGGTCCTGGTCCTGCCTTCTCTCGAGATGGTGCTGCAGCAGCAGGCGGGAAAGGCTAAGTTCTGCCACCCGCCTCCATGGAAAACCTTCGACCGGTATTGGGTTCACACATCGATAGTGCTGTGAAAGCGCTCTGGGACCAGAAGGAAAGGTTCCGGGAGACACTTCCGCACGAGAAGCTGAACAAAGATTCCCGAGGGACTTGCTGAAGTGCCCAGGCGGCCCACAAATAGAATATTTTTTATACAGAGGAATTTCAACAGAGCAACAAGTCTCTTTGAGGATGAGATGGGAGCCTGTAGGCTAAAGGGAACAATTGCTTCTCTGACAGCCGCAATGCCTGCACAGTCAAAAGACCTGGCTATTTCCCTCTCTAGGACACCCCACTAGAGGGTACCCCGTGTTTTTATTACACAAGATCACCAGAGCATGGGCAGCGTATGGCTGGGAAAGACCCGAATGTAATCAGTGAGCCACGGGAGGTGACGGCCGAATGAGTTCATTCCACTAGCTTGGAGGCGCTTAGTTACAGACGGGCTTAGTTACACACGAGCCTCCTTTTCCGGATAAACGTATCATTCCTCTCGAAAACGGGTTGTGAGTGGGAGCCAAGCCTACCTAGGTGTGCCAAGGACGTCTGTTTGTTGGGGGTAACCTTGACAACACACCTCATGCAGAACGTGGCCCTTCCCTCACAGAAACCCCCGCAAGGCTAGGTGTGGATTCAGGTGGCACTCCGGAGCATTCCGGAAAGCCACCTCACCACACCTTTTCTGACGCCACTGACTTACTTTCTGCCTCCATGTTTGTTAAAAGTTCCGCCGAATTTATTCCGATTCAGGATGAGAGCAGCAATTTCAGGTACGTAGCGGGCAAACATTGCCTACATGCATGAAACAAAGAAACAAGAGCAAAAAAAAAGGCATGCAGAGAGGACTGTACCGCCGTGGAAGCAGCACCGCTTCCTGGTATACTTACTTTCTTCCACTAACCGCACTATAGGAGCCCCCGTATTTCTTGCGGTTTCCTATTAACTCTATGATTTCAGGGACGTAGCTGGCAAACATGGCCTGAGAAGATAGGAGACAGAAGAGATACTAAAAAGGCAGGCCAGAGAAAGGGGAAGGACCCTCTCAGAAAAGGGGGCGGGGACACTGAGATCTGGAAACACAAAAGGATTAGAACTATGAAGGTATATATATCTATATATCTGATTATTAAAAAAAACAAAAGCACAAAAAAGGGTGAGTGCCTAAAAACACACAGGACACAACAAAACATTAGCCAGCCTAAAGAGTTTAAAGGGGAAAACAAAAAACATACTTGAGAAAAGCACCAGTGAAACAGGAGCAAATACATTGGCTCTTCTTTCTGAAGAGAAACATCTTGGAGCAGTGCATGCTGGTAAAATTAAACACACACACACACTCACACATTACTGATTACTATGAAAGACTTTTTAAAACATTAAAACTCAAAGGAGAAGCAATGCTTTTTTGAGTTATTAAAGACAATACATACCAAAAAAAACTTTGAAAAATAAACCTCTTTGAAAAATAAACCTATTAAAAACAAAAATTACTGAAAAGCACAAAAGGTAAATTTGGGGAATGACATTGGGAGGAAAGGAAAACAGGGAGGGGAGAACAGCTGCCATGTTTTGTCCAACAAACTTCCTGCCTGCGGCTGGCCACTCCTAGGCCTCCTTTGAGATGTCTGGTCACCTACAGGGACCTCCCAGGTGCTGGCATTCATGTACACACCCACATGTACACTGATATGCATTTTAATATATATGCCGTACATACCAAATAGACAGAGAGGTATGCATTAAGGCATATAAATGCATGTGCAGGTACATGAGTAACAGCCGAGTGTGATTGGGGTTTTAACCACTAACACACGTACAGCCGGAAACAAACGCTAAACTTCAAATGAGCGGCTTTGAAAGGCAAAATGCAGCAACCACCAATGTGTTGCCAGAAATTGCCCTTAAATAGTTTATCGCTACTGACATTGGGGGGTTTCACAGAGATCTGCATAGACCAGGAAAGCAAATATTGAAGTGGTGGGAAAATAGTTCCTGTGTTGCTGCCTGTTTGCGACACGGCACCCTGCTCACAGGTGATGTCCATCTGGATGAGCCCGTGTGGTCCCCGCCCTCTGTTGGGGCTCCCTGCTCTCTAGGGGAGACCCCAGCCACAGTGTTGGCTGGAAGTTTCAGGAGGAGCATGAAGGGGAGGGAGGGCTCTGGAAACCCCCAACTGTCTACAAAGGACCAACAGCGCCTGCTAGGGTCAGGGGACAGCAACTGTCCTCCCAGAATATCAGACCTGAGTCTGAAATGACCATGGGCACTCTCATTTATTAATACTATCACTTACTTAAGACAATTAGATTTGCTCCGGGCTCTGTGGCTGTCTCGGAAAATACACTAAAAGCTATGCAGAAAAATCACCGTCCTGTTTGGACTTAACTTAGCCAGGTTGTAACACTAAGACACCCACTGCTAACACGGGAACATGATAGAAAACTACAACACTTTAAGGAAATGGATCACAGTAAATATTAATGCTGATATAAGCCAGTCATAAAAAAAGGCTTTACCAGTCCCCCGAGGATGAAGAAGACCATGAAGAGGCGGCCAAGTGTCGTTTTTGCATAAACATCCCCATAGCCAACGGTGGACATGGTGACCATGAGTAAATAGACACATTCCCAGTACGTAAGAGCCTGGTTGTTCTGGAAGTTTTCCCATGGGTCCCCTGAATTCTCCACCTAAAGCAAGGGGACACGAAAGAAAGAGAACGCAAAATTATTTCACATAGATAAGAAGCATAAGAGTACCAAATCCTAGCAGGCCATGTCCTGACCTCCATGCAAGGTGTGTGGTGCCCAGGCTGGAGTTCTTAAGGTAATGGATACATCTCCCAAACAGACTTCTAGGCTTCTCTACGAGATCGACCACCTTCCGCAGTTCCTTGGCAGAATGTGCATAATATATTTTGTCCTTCAAGATGAAGAATTTTCCCAAGACAAAGGGCCTGCAAACGTTTTCTATAAAGGGCTGAGCGTCAATCTTTCCGCTTTGTCTCTCTGTTACAATGGACTCGACTTCATCATCGTCGTGGGAGGCAACCACACACCAATCACCATCAAGTTAATGCCAACCCGTGGCAATAAGCCTACCTACTGTGTCCAAGTGCACCGGCACCGCGCAATCCTCAAGGCTGCAACTTTTCGGAAGCAAGGGACCTCTGAGTGGGTTCAAACCTCCAACCCTTCAGTTCATAGCCCTGCACTTCACTGCTTGTGCCACTTGGAGCTCTGAAAGTACCTAGAAGGAGTGCCTATGGCCAGATTTGGCTCAAGGGCTACAGTTTTCCCTGACCTGCTTTCCACTTTATAAAACACTTCCCTGCTGTCCCATCGGATCTGGTCCACCAGTCACCTTGTAAGGTAGGTGGAAAAGGCACTGCATCTCTGATTGGGGGGTAGACTCTCCCGGAGAGAGCAAGTGGCAGGACTGGGTTTCCTAGCTCCCTTGGCTGAGATCCACTTCTGTCCCTACAGACTCTCTCCAGGACAGGCACACACAAAGTTTGTCCTGAACAGGCCATTTGCATGGCGATTTCCTGGAGACTTATAAGTGACTTCACATAGTAGGTCTGTTAGGTGGGGCCACCTGCCACCTAAAGATCACAATACCTTCTATAGATATGCTCTTAGCACTTGGCACCTGGTTACAACAAGAATTAGGATGAGTCATCTAAGGATGATTTTAGACAAGAATCCGTTGCTATACAGGGTTTGGTGGAGAGCTACCAGTGCCTCCCAACTGTCAACCCAAACCTGTGTTCTTCTGAAGGACGCCTACAAAATCCCCTTGGGGGCGGAGGGGGGTGGGGGCTGTATTGTGGCGTCAATGGTTGGGTGCTCCGCTACTAGTTGAAAGGTTCATATCCCCTCAGAGGTGCCTTGGAAAGTAGCCTAGTAATCTACTCAGGAAAGTTTACATCCTTGAAAATCTAGGGAATAAAGTTATCCTTCACACACATGGAGTTGCCTATAAATAGGCTCAGACAATCACCTGTATTCCAACTGCCATGGTTAGCTAGGGCTAGTTCCTGTTGCACCAGCATGTGCTCCTATGAAGTATGTTTTCAACATGTTCTCTGAAGGAAGTGGGGACTCTCCTTTGAGAAGGTGTGAACAACAGCTTGACGTAATGGCAAGGCTATTGAAGAATCATTCACTTAAAAAGAATGAACCGTTTTAAGGTACAAATGAATCAATGGTGGCTTTTGTAAGGAGGAAATGAAGAGAATTGAGGAATCTCTATTTGTGGTTTACAAAGTAAGAGGTGTAGGTCAAAAAGCCAACCCTCTCCCCAGGCCTTTTCTGAGAATTTCTGAGTAAGTACTGCCATCGTGTGGTAAAAGCTAATTATTGCATACAGAATGGAAAACACACCACAGCCCACTGCAATAATACTGGTGAACTGGAAATCGCAGGTTAACAGCCGAAACATCACTCACCATTTGGAACCAGTTTGGGACAAAGGCATTGGAAAAACAGACAGCTGGTCAGTTGCTTCCCCTTTTCCTGCATTTTACAGCTGGGCCAAAGTTTCTTTGAGGCCAGTGAGAGAAATGTCTGGTAATGAAGTAACTCACATCGGGCCTTGTTTCAGGAAAGTCAGAGGTGAGGGGCTCTTCCAGGGCACTTACCAAATGGATGAACCCGGCCGCTGTTAGCCACGTACTGATAAATATGGAGAGGAGATTCACCAGCTTGATGGAATTACTGTGCAAAGGAGACAACAAGCAACATTTCCAAGTTACAAAGAGGAGACTTGGGCTGCCTTAGGGTAACAATGCCACTTCTAACCAGTCCACCTTTTCTCCCTCCCCAGGGAATGTGCAGGAAGATGGAGTGAAGTAGGGCAAGTGGGCAGGACACTGCAGCTGTGTCCTTAATCGAATATTTGTCCTATTTTTTTTATTTTACAAATTTTATTTCAAAGATGTTCAAAGCTACAGAGAAGTGAAAAAATAGCGCAATGAATGTTTTCATTAGCTTTCACCTAGCTAGACCCATTAATAACATTTTACCACCCTCGCTTTATCTCAATATAATCTTATTTATTTTCTTCCTTTTGGGGGTGGGAGGTTGAGTTGAACAGAGAGGTCTGGCTAAACCATTTGCAAGTAAGTCGTAGACATCATGCTAATAACCTCCAATTACTTCAAGCTCTAACTCCTAAAAAGAACATTTTTAAACAACATCATCATTCCACTAAAATAACAATAATAATAATGTGAATTAAATAGCATCATCTAATTTTCAATCTTTACATTTATCCCCTAACTCTAAATTATATTTATAAACATTTTCCTTTTTGCTTTCTGATCCAGGAACTAATCAAAGCTTACACACTATGTTTGTTCATTACGTTGTTTAGACCCACGTGTCAGGAAACATTCTCGGTCAAGGGCTGGATAGTAAATATTTGAGGTCATATGGTGTGTTTTTGTGACTGTTCAACTCTGCCAAGATAGCATGAAAGCAGACACCATATAAAGGAATGGATATAGTTGCATTCCAAATAAAACCTTGTTATTTACAAAAATTGCTAAAGGGCTACGTGTGGACCATGGGCTATCACATGTAAAGTGGCGCTTTGCTGTTGTAGTTAGGCAGGTCTCACTCACGGTGCTCTCATGGACGACAGGACAAAACACTGCCCTGCCCAGTGCCACCCTCAACAACCATTCCTGTGCTTGAGCTCATTGGTGTGGTCACTGCGACAATCCACATCATTCAGGATCTCTGTCTCTTTCTCTGACCTACATGGCCAAGCACGACGCGCTGCCTTCTCCTGAAGACTGCTGCTCCATGGGTGGCAGCAAGTCTCACCGCCCTCCTGGGAAGCAGCGACGTTGAGCCGTCCATAGTATAGAGTCAACATTCTTCTGCAACACTTTAAAAAGGTCTGTTGCAACAGAATGGCCCAATGCAACACGGGCAATTCCGGGCTTCTTCTTCCATTAATATTGATTGCAGATTCAAGGAAAACAAAAATCCCTGGAAAATGTTGATAATTGCCCCCACTTTGTTGTCATGCCGTGTAGTGGTCCAGTGGTGAGGACTTCTGTTTCCTTCATGTTGAGATGTGAGCCTTGCAGTGGTTAAGTCTTCATCAGGAAGTGCTTCAAGCCCTCTCGTCTTTCACCAAAAAGGCTTAGGTCGTCTGCCTACTGCAGGTTGTTAACGAGTCTTCCGCCAGTCCTGCTCTTCTTCATAAAGACTGCAGAAGTACGTTCATCATACTGATTGAGTAAGTACGGCCAAGGAATACAACCACGACAAAAGTCTTTCCTGACTTTAAACTACACAATCCCTCACCATTTGTTTAAATGAATGTTTCGTAGTCTAGGTACAGGTTCTGAATGAGCACACCTAAGTTTTCTGGTATGCTCTTTCTCTGTAATGTTACTCATTAATTGTCAAGATCCACACACTTGAATGTCTTTGCAAAGTAAATATTTTTGCATAGCAACATATAAGTAAGCATCTTTCTGATATTCTCTACTTGGATAGCAACAACAATGGCCATTGTTCAGTGCTCTCTTTTGAATCCGAATTGAATTTCTGGTAATTTCCTGACAATGTGAATATCCTGCTCCAGCCATTTTTACAATTATCTAATTACATGCAATTATCTAATATTAATATTATTTGATAATTTCTGCAGTGTGTTATCACCTTTATTCTAAATGAGTGTGAATATGGATTTCTTCCAGGAGATGGGATAGGTTGCTGTGCCTATTCTGAAATACAACGCTGTCAGGGATTGCATAGGCTAGGCTAGGATAGGATAATATCCATACACCTGCTTATTCAAATGTATGCACAAACTAGTAATGCCAAAGATGAAGAAATTGAAGATTTGTATCAACTTCTGCAATTGGAAATTGCTCAAACATTCAATCAAAATGATTACTGGTGATTGGAATTTAAAGAAGGAAATACATGACCTTGATGATAGAAATAGTATTGGGGATCATATTACCAGTGGCTTTTTCATTTCAATACCTTTTCCAACCACAAAAACACCAAGCATACTATATGGACCTCAGGAGAGTATAAGAATAAAATCGATTACATCTATGAAAAAAGATTATGGAGAAACTCGGTGGTCTCAGTCAGGATAAGGCGAACGCACAACTGTGGAGCAAAAGAGCCCTTGTCATGTGTGAGTTCAGGTTGAAACAAGCAAAAAATTAAACATGCCCCTGAAAACTTAAATAGAACTGGAATATATTCTTCCTGAATTTATACGCCATCTCAAGACTATTAGCAGTATTAAGCACTGGTAGCCTTAGAGAAGATAAGTTGTGGAGTGATAGCAAGAGCCTCATATGTGAAGAAAGCTAAAGGTCGTTAGAAATACAGGAAACAAAGAAAAGGGCATAACCAATGTCAGAAGAGACTCTAGCAGGTGCTCTACAAGGTGGTCAAAGTGCAGATCTGTCGGTGGGCAGCAGGTGATCAAGGTCTGAGAGTGCCGAAGGAAGACGTCCAAGATTCACTGAAGGCAAAGGCAAAACACAAGAGCCAGGAATTGGCGGGCTATCGATCAAAATGCTTCAATCCATGGATGCAGTGCTGGAGGTACCCATTTGTTTGTGCCAAGACATTTGGAAATATTTTTTCTTCTATAAACAACACATTCCTGATCCTGTTGATTTATTTTCAATAACATTTTACATTTATTTGAATCCAGCCCAATCTGTTTTGTAGAATGTTTCATAGTCTTCATTTATCTGATTCTTTCCTCATTGTCAGATTGTGTTGAAATATTTCTGTTAAGAATGCTCTGTCACATTGCCATCATATCAGGATGTCTGAATCAGTGACACTACATCTTGTCACTTGGTTAAGAGGGGGGGTGTCACCCACATACCTTCACAATTAACATGCTCCCTGGGGGTGAAACGTGGCAGGGGCTAGCAACCTAAAACTTGGCAGCCTGACCCCACCCGACAATGCCATGGAAGAAAGTTCTGATGATGGGTGTCTGCCAAAATTACCACTAAGAAAATTCTAGGGAGTGGTTCTGCTTTCTAACTTGATGGCAAAAAGTGTGGGTTTTGTTTTGTTTCAGGTGAGACTTTGAGACACCACTAATATCCTGCTCGCCAACAACCTCTCACCTAATAGGTTTGGCACTCACTTGAGTGGAGCGGCTAGAACCTACTAACATGTATGTTCCACAAGAGTAGGGGCCTTTTCTTAATCTCCTTCGGGTCCTAGAAGCAGTGATTTTCTATTTTCAGTAAGTTGGGCCTTTAAAAGTATCTACTGAATGTACTGGCAGTCTCTGCTGGGAGCTGCGTCCTGTACACTCAGTGGGTTCAGTCTACTAGAATGCAGCTGGCAACAAGCTGCTTTTCCCTCCAAAGTTTTCCACTGGACTTAAGTGCTATGTCCATTTTTCTCTTCCATCTTCAGTACTCTCCAGCACTGCTCTTTTACATAAACTCCTGAAACCATCATGATGGTCAAGTTTATGTACTGTATCCTTGTATATATACTATTACTCGGTTGGAAAGCTCTTTTCCGTCTGTGCAAATACTTCCTGTTTTTCAAGGACAAGGTCAGTCTACATCTCCTGCATTGCTCGGCGCTCTCAGGTTGTAGATGCTGCCCTTGTCAAACATCTGCTGGATGATCGGCCTGAAGGCGAAGGGGGAGATGTTCAGCTTGTTCCGAAGGGTGGCTTCACTGGCACCCACTGTGTCTGCAGACTTGATCAGCTGCATGTCACTCAGGATTGCAATGGTGCCTCTGGAGAACTTCGTGGTGATGCCCAAAGCCTGGAATAAGGGGGTCTTTCGGGACTCAGGCCCGTGTTCTGGGCCAGTACAGTCACCTCACACAGGGCAATGCCACCAGCCCGGTGGCAGTTGGCACCTTGCTGGTCAGCAGCATGTGGCGAACACAAACCCACAGTCCCCCAGAGAGGAGGCAACAGTCTCCCCAGAGACTGTTCTCCAGGTGCCCTCGGATGGCCGTGCGCATCATGCCTCAAGATGTCCTTCAGAACCTCAGCCTTCCTGCGGAGGGACATGCAGATGTGCTGCATCTGCTTGGAGGCCATGTTGTCGATTCCCACGATGAAGCATTTTGTATGATCATCCAAAAGTTGGATTATTGTAAGGAAGTCGTTGGACTTCCAGGTCGCCCTGTCTGACCTGGGTATCATGGTGGTACGTCAGGGATTAAAGACAGGCTTTAAAGACGATGTCACCCTAGGCAAGAGAAGCTGTTTGAATTTTTAAGGAAGGCTGTGTCTCGTCCCACACTCTGTGCATGGGATATGAAAAGGACCCAAGGGGAGGAGAGATTATCTAAAGATGTTGGTTGACTTCTTGAACCACCACAGAAGAGAATGGAAAAGGAGGAATTCTGAGGACTATAGATCCCAACTACACCATATCCCAAGGAGCGCAGCATAGGAGCTATGTGTGGTCGACTGTAAATCAAGCAGCTTTAAAGACAGAGCTCTGGGGGAGGTTGGGGTCAGTGGTTATAGGACAAGCATGGGACCCAAGTCCAGTTTCCCTTTTTCTCCCTATATTTCATTTACACAACGAAGCAGAAGGACCTGTGATCTTAATTTTCCAGCACTGATTCTGAAAGAGCTCAGAGAAAGAATTAAATATACATGTTTCAATGTTGTAGAGGCAACTGGTCTTTTGAGATGTGTAATAAAATTTTCTTCTAGTTCAAAAATTAGG